TCCCCGGTGTTCCAGGGGACTCACCAAGTGTCAGAAAACACAACCCTCTCTATTTTCCTCCATACCCAAATCTCTAAAAAAGGGGCTGCAACGGATCTGATAAAAACTGATCCAGATTTGAACACTGTCCTGACGTCAGGACGGTGGCGCTACGGCTATTGGGCCAACTCCACCAATCAGGAGGAGACAGCCACGGCCATTGCCGTTCGAAAGCGCTGGAGACGCTGTAGTACATATGCCAGGCCAGTAGATGGTGCTGTTCTCACTGAATCTGCCCCTGCACAAACAGAGCTAGAAATTGTCAAATTGAGCGAAATGAGGCATGGCTAAAATGCATGATCTGTTTGGTATTTTGAAAAAAAAAAAGGTATAAATATGCCTTATATAGGTATGGTCCTACACTATATTATTCAAATATAGCATGATAGGTCCACTTTAATATATATATAAATGAACTTGCTGTTCAGTTGGATCAATGTGCTGCTCCTGGCCTCTCCCTCCTAGATAGAGAGGTGAAGTGTCTGCTTTATGCTGATGACCTTGTTCTGCTGTCTCCTACTGAACAAGGACTACAACAACAGCTGGACATAGTAGACCAGTACTGTAAGAACTGGGCCCTGGCAGTCAATATGAAGAAAACTAATGTCATGGTTTTCCAAAAACGCCCCAGATGTCAGGAGAACAAATACCAGTTTACCATAAACAATCATATAATTGAACATAGTATGAGTTATACCTACCTTGGTTTAACCATAACAGCATCAGGAAGTTTCAACATGGCAGTGAATGCACTAAAAGAAAAAGCCAGAAGAGCTCTAAATGCAATTAAGAGAACATTTTATAATGTCCAAATTCCAATTAAAATCTGGCTCAAAATATTTGATAGTGTGATTCAGCCCATTGCGCTGTACGGTAGTGAAGTATGGGGTCCACTCAGTCACCAGAGCTATATCCGCTGGGACAAACATCCAACAGAGTCTTTACATGCAGAATTCTGCAGATACATTTGACGTGTTCAGAGAAAAACACCAACAAATGCATGTAGAGCAGAATTAGGCAGATACCCACTGATAATTAACACTCAAAAGAGAGCACTAACATTCTTTAACCACCTTAGATCCAGCCCCCGAGACACCCTCCACTCCAAAGCCCTCCTAAACCAAGAGCTAAACCCAGGAAAGAGTCCCCTATGTCAGTTGGTGCTCAGAGCCACTCTGACCAGTCTCTCAACAACACTGCTCTCCAAACACCAATCACAGTCAAACGCATTATAACACAATGCAAAGACAACTATTTACAACATTGGAAAGAAGAAACTAAAAGCCAAAGTAGATTAGAATGTTACCTGGCTCTAAACAGAGATTATGAGCTGGCAGAATATCTCTCTACTGTCAGAGATAGAAAGCAGAGACAGATCCTAACCAAGCACAGGCTCAGGTGGTACTTGGTGTAAAAAGGTTGAGAACCACTGCTCTAGATGATAGGAAAGGAGGTTTCAAACTTCCTTTATAACCTCCTTTAGCTTAGGAACCACTGGACCTCCCTAACCTAAAGGAGAGGAGAAAATGCTGCCCCACAATGCCTTGCAGCCGCAGCATTTGCCGTGAGACAACATTCGGCCGTTCACGGAAACAACCGATTATGACCGAGAAATTATATCATGAAAGTTACGGTGCTTATTAAGCATTTTAAAACGGTAACTTGCCAAGGTGCTTTGTTTTGAACGTTCATCAGTATTATAATCAAAAAGAGAAATATGAACGTTAGTTTTTACTGAAATGATCAAATAAAGTCAACATTTCACAGTCTTTACTGAGCTGTGTGGGGTTTGTTCAACTTTTAAAATATGTTTGAATGGTGATATACACAGTGATAGATGTTAAGGACTAACGTTTATAATAAATACATTTGTATTGATTTTAAGATCTTTTCATAGTTCATACAGTCATACATATTGGGATCATTTGTATTAATGTGGACCGGAGGGAGAGGGTGACGAGCATAAGTTTCACTTTCGTTTTTTATTTCAATTCCAACTTTGGTCATGAAGAAAATGTTTCTCTGTTGTCCATGTTCATAAAGCATAAAGCAACAGCATCAGAGCACGGTGCAGAGTCTCTAGATGAGTTTACAGTAGTCCCTCGTTCTTATTAAACATCCATGTTGTAGTCCGCTGTATAGAAAACTGTAGTTTCCATAGTTTCCCCACAGCAGCAGGCGCACATTTATGACGTCCGCTGGCGCATCATAAACACGTCGGATAGTGAAAGTGCAGTCGGATTCTCAAAGCACCGCAGTCTCTTCTCCTAAGTCCTTTTGAATTCTCCTATCCACTATCCCTTAACCCCGTGACGTTTCACTCAGAGGTCAAGGGATAGACGATAGGGATAGACGATAGGAGCTGATTTTTTGACTATTCGACTGCACTCCTGGTCAGGGACGTGCACAGGTACGGGCTAATGTTGCCCGGGCAACGGCCCTTTTGCCCTTTTTGGCTGACCTGCCCCTCTGGAGAGAGCGAGTTTTTTTTCTTTCTGTTGTGACCGAATCAACATGATAAGCCCACAATTAGTATTGTAGCGTCTCGCTGCGATAAAACACACCTTGTCAGCTCTGTCCTCTGCCCCAAGTCACGTGACTTTGTTTACAATCTGACAGCTGAAAGCAAAGGACAGCCCTCCGGCCTCATATGGCTATGGTGATCATACCAAATGCCCGCCTGGCTTTGGTGGCAAATCCCCAGGTCAATCTGTCCCCAGAAATGTCCCCGTTTTTAAATATGCTTATATTGATTTTGAGTTGTTCTCATGGCAGTTAGAGTATAGGGGACAGACCAGGGGACTTTACTTCCTCTTGACACCGTTGGTTATTTACAACAACAACAAAAAACTAAATATACTTGTTATTGTGCTTCTGTCTTTCTGTGTCTTTCCATCTGTAAACTCCCTCAACGGCCGCTCGCTCTCTTTTCTTGATCAGGAGAACACTTCACTGTCCCGCTTCATTGTAGGATTTCTGCCATGTCTCCACTTTAGTTTGACCATCTCTGTTATTAAGTTATGGAATACTAAATAAATAAGTAATTAGCAGTGACGTGCGGTGAGGTTCATGGCTGGTGAGGCACTGACTCTTTCAGAGTCAGATTTACAAATATTATAGCCTATTTTGACCTTAATCGAAATATTCTGTTATTTTCAAAAGCTTTTTTAGTCTGATGCTATGATTAATTTTAAACAGACCGATCAACAAAAGGATACCCAAAATCTAAATATTGGATTGTTCTTTCTAAGTAAGATCCCATTTTCATTACAGTTGTGGTCTTACCTTGACTTGAAGATGAAGTCCATGCTATCCTTCTGGACAACAATCTCTATTACTGTTTTGTAAAAGTCCTCCTTATCTTCCTGTAGTTTCAAAAGTCGAGTTTGTTGTTTGCGGTAGAATAACAGTAGCAACAAGAACCTGTGGGCTCACGTGCGCCCCCTTCAGTGCGGCAGAGGTTATGGCTGCCTCTCCTGGTGCTTTTTTCATTGCCGTTGTACGATGAGACCAGCGAGCCTAAATATCATATATACGTGAAATAAGTTATTTAGAGACTATGGATGGCGAGGATAAATGTAATAAAGGGATCTACAAACATTACATTGGTGACCTACAGTGAGATGGTAACAGGCATGTGCTTAGTGCCCGCTTTCCAGCCAGTTTCTGTGGGGTGACGCATTCTGAGGTGAGGCAGAGCTCATCTGTGCCTCACCTCACCCCACAGTAAATGGCTTGAGCGCGCTCACAAAATAAGTGGCCGCGCTAAATTAGTGCCCGCGCTCCAGCAAGTTACTGTGGGCTTACGTGAGGCAGAGCTCGTCCCTGCCTCACTTCTCATCGCTCCCGTAGCGGAGCTCGGCAAATTTGCTGATTTTGACTATAAAATGCGATTGGAATCATACAGAAATCACATTTACACAAGATCAGTGGAGACATTTTATTATTATTATTATTTAGTTTTTCTTTAATTGTTTTTCCGTTACATTGGAGTATGACAGGTGAGGCTCTGCCTCCCCTGCCTCCACTGACTGCACGTCGCTGGTAATTAGATACCTTACCGTTGCTGCGCTCATAAAGAATGATAAGAATAAGAATAATGCGTATTGAACTGCTTTCATTAATTAGTGAGTTTATTTAAGAAAATTAGTTAGAAGCCCTATTTTATCAGTATGTCTGCACAGCAGTTACAATGGTCAAACTACATTCAAACAGAATTGTCCCCATTTTTACTTTAATAGTTAGTAACATTAGATATTTTAATGAGATATGGACCGCTAAACAAAAAATGTCCCTGGTTTTCATTTACAAAAAAATTCAAAGGGTCTTATGTTTTTTTTTCGGGGGGAGGCCATTTTTCTAGTTTAGAGCAATAGCCCCTCCAAATGTCTGTGCACGTCCCTGCTCCTAGTTAGAAGCTAAACTGCATTTCGTTGTCTCAGTACCTGTAATCTGTGCAATAACAATAAAGTTGAATCTAATCTTGAATCTACAAATGTATTTACTTAGTACATATCTGACATTAACGATTATACACATGTGTGCATTCTTTATAAATGCAAACTGGTCAAGATCACTGACGGAAGTAGTTTTGAAAAGTAATAAGTGGTTCTGTCTTTTACATGTAGGATTCAACCCCCATTGTATTGATTTGTTTTAAAATGAACAGACACTCGAGTCATTCATTTGTAGTGATATAGTAATTGTGGGATTTCTATTGCATCCACTTCATCTGCAACGAAGAACGCCAACGCAATTTCCGCCATCACAAACCGAGTCAAGCCGACTCCGAGCTGTCCGACTTCAGGCGAGCTTTTTGAGACCTCCTCCGGCTGCAATCGGCTATTCTCGTCTACTTTCGAGGCGAGCCGCAGCTCATCTCAAACAAGCCTACTATTTCCGATAACACCTAAAGGCGACATAGTACACGCACACGCCCCAAAGAGCCCCCTCCCCTCCCCTCAGTGTGTTCACCTGCGCTCCGTCTCTCTGGTTAGTTTGGGACTTTCCACGCCTCTTCCAAACAAACAAGAGACACGGAGCGGAGCTCACACTTCATCCCGCCAAGTATCCTGCCGCCGAGAGAATGGACTCCGCCGCTGTGCTGCTGCTGCTCACCGTGACCGCCGGAACTCTGCTCCACGGTAAGGCTCGCTGATACTGCGGTAGAAGAGGCTTCAGAACAGTGTGGACACGGTATGCTGCAGTGGTTTCACCGAGGTATTCAGCATACTGTAGCCTACTCTCCGGATGTCGCTGGACTTGTAACTTGCCGGTGAGCCTGAATAGTAACAGCATGTTAGAGTAGAGAAGGCACCAGAAGGCTCTGATGGGAGGACTGTTCCAGTGTACCAGTGTGACGCATTCAGGGCCGAGACGGGTTCCTGGAACTTTGAGGGTTCCTCATTTGTTACGATGGATTTCCCCTTAATACAGCCACTTACCATTTAAAATTAGATAACAATATGTTGAGGCGAACAGAACGGGTAGCAATGAATTCATAGAGCTCTGCCGGCCTTAATGCTAAATAAACGTGCAATTAACAGGTGGGTGAACATAACACAGGTGGCTTTATCATTCCCTGTGCGCCAACCCTCCTGCTAAGCGGCCATTTGGTGTCATGGAGCAGGTTCGAACACTAGGGTGAAATGTGGTTAGTGCTATCAGATGTTTGTGATTGAGGCTGGGGTTTTAAACCTCTCTGTCTTGTATTTGGAATGAAGATAGGCACTCTTTGTTCTGATGTGGGAAAATATAACATCTAATAAGTAAAGTAGTCTATTTAGAAAGCAACTGAATATTCGTTATACAGAAGTTTTACAGAAAGCCTAGCACTGTATAATCTCTGATGCTGATAGTGAATGTTTTGTTGGGGAGAAAACAGGGGCTGTGGTTTGAGCTCAAACACTTTCACATTGTTGGCACCGCTCACATGTGTGGTGTCACTCACAGGATAAATCAGAATAAATATCTCCCTGCTCTTATCTGAGAGTGTGTCCCTCTGCACAGAGCTGCTCATTGTCCAGCGCCTGTCTGACTTCTCTCTCTCTCTCTCTCTCTCTCTCTCTCTCTCTCTCTCTCTCTCTCTCTCTCCTCATCTCTCTCTCATCTCTCTCTCTCTCGATCTCTCATCCTCTCTCTCCTCGTCTCTCCCTCCGTCTCTCTCTCTCTCTCTCTCTCTCTCTCTCTCGGTTGATGGGTGCTTGACACTTGACGCCAGGGTCACCTTCTCCATCACTTGATGCTGTCTGGAGGAGGGACCCAATCTATGTTTTTGTTTTGGGGGGGGGGGTCACATTTCAGCCATGATAAAATCCATATTTGGCCTCCACATAATGGCAGATACTAGCACAAGAGTAAGCAGCTGAAGTCAGTTTGTAGCTTGATCTGCAGCATTCCTCACATCAAAGAGGGGAGCTTTCAAAGAGAGTTGAGGCTCAGAGTCCAGTGGGGGTGGGGGTGGGGGTGGGGGTGGGGGAGGGGGGGCTGTCCAGGCTGACTGGGGGTGGGTGAGGCCTGCCCGGAAATGTCCCCCGCCGGCTAAAATGATTGGTCGTGCTTTTTACAGTACTATGGCTTCCACAGATGACATTTTGTTATGGATGTTTTGTCAAAGCACTTAAGATATTCATTGCTATCGGGATGTTAAGAGCATTCCATGGAATATAACAAAAAGTGTATCTCGAGCCGGTTTCTCAAACTTACCTACCCCACCTTTAAGGAGTCCAAATGATCATTGTTGAACACCCGTCCTTTAAAAAAAATTATTATTCTACCTGCTTGGTATTTATTAACTACCAGTTACTTACACACTCTAAAAAAAACAAATGTTTGATGTTGCCATATGAACAATTCAACCCTGCAATAATCCATCTTAGCATTATTCACATTTTAAATGTTCACAGCATAGTTCTGAGGGCTTCACATCTTTAGCATGGATGATTATATACTCCAGTCAGGCTTTACTTGTGTAACTCAAATGTTTTGTAAAAAACGGACCAAACGCTTAAAGTTGTGGATAATATGCAAATAGATGAAGCTCCCCTCAAACAAACGGTATTTTCTATATGACATTTTAAAAGGGGTATTATTGCTGAGAGTGGGGGCAGCCAGACTGTATGTGTTTGGTATGCAGTTGCACTTTTTAAGTTGCTTTAGCCGGGGGGGCAGGATGGTTTGAAAAGGTGTCTCTGCCTCAACATGTTAAACGGCCCGTCTTTTTCTGGAGGGAAAATACCTTTGTGGGGGTCAGTGGTGGGGAGGGGTGCGGGGCGGATGTGTGAGGACCTTCAACTACCTACATGCAGCACTCCCAGTAGCCGATTTGTGAAAGGTCAGCGTGTTTGAGGCAGCTCCTAAATCTTTCTGCCAGAGGGCTTCAGTTTTATCTGCTCTTCAGAAGCTGTTCACACGGCACACAAACATCATAAGTTGCTACTGTCATGTGAAAGGGGTTAAAGGTTTTCAAGGTTCCTTTTATGGGTAAAGAAAAACATTCCATTTCCCATGAGCTCTTGGTGATCTCATTTCAAAGCAGTGAATGAAAGTGTGATGTCGCTAAATGAAAGGTTTTTTTTATTAGGAAGAAACAAAGTCAAGTAGCAATTATATCTTTAAAAGCTGAGACGGCTTATATAGTGATAATGTGAGTAATCAGAAGAAATGTTGGTGGTAAAATGTGATCCTGGTGTTAACCTGTTAAGCACTGAGCCTGTTTTTCAGGTCTCAGCCTCGAAAATGACATTTCCAGAACAAATGACCATAACTACACTTCTAAAAGGGGAAAATTAATAATCTTTTTTCTCAAAGTAATGATAAACCTGTGAGTTGGATGTAGAAAAGTCAGAATCAATATAGATGTTTTTAATTTAAAAGAAAATTCAGATTGAACTTAGTAAAAAACTGTAAATTATAGTGTCCGTCCAAATATTCTTTTTTACTTATAGTAAAAACTACCCTTGGATGATGGTAAGGTAGACTAAAAGCTTTAGTAATCCAAAGTACAACATATAATAAGTACCCTGTATCAAGATTGATGCAATACAAGTGACATTTGACCTTTTTAGAGAGGTTTAGCAAAAAAAACTCTACCTCTGAGGTGATTTGGGTGGAAATGGCCATTGTTACCGTTTCTCTGGAACCCATTGGTCGATTTTGGTGATTGACATCTCTTTTTTTTTTGACCGTTAGAGCCAATAGAATCGAAGGGGAATTTCCACATACACACACACCTTACCATTGAGAAATGAGAGCTATGCGCACGCAGTTTTGCATGAGAGCGAACCTATCTCTCGCTCTGACATCTGGAAACGGAAAAGCAGGTTTATCGCTTATGGATTATCAGAAATCATTTCAAAGGGACACAGACACATTGGATTAACCTATGGATTAACTTCAGCAGCGTTTTAATGCCATTGAAGACCACTTTTGACCAGACAACGACAAAGGTGAGCCATTTTGCAGTTTTTAGCTACCTAGCGCCACCTGTTTTGATGTCTGTTCTTGTTAATATCTTTGTGAGTTCTTATCATGGAGTGATGATGTATGTACCGCTCAATTCTGTGTCTTCTCACGATGCGAATCGATGGGTTGGATGTGCAGCTACGATAAGTAATAAGGGTGTTATGAGTGAGTTTCTGTGCAAAACGCCGTTAGCATTTTTTCGCTCATGGCTAATTCATAGGCTAAAAAGAAAAAGATCAGTTAGCTGAGTTTCTTCCCGTTACATGGATATAAAACATTCATAGTTTATTGAATATTAAGATGCCCTCAGACGCTGTTTCCTGCAGATGACGCGTTTTTCCCCCCGGTATCGGGGGGGTGGTGTCGAACAGGGTACAGTAGGGTAAATTGTGTTTCAGCCCTGCTGTTTCCTCCTCAGAGATTTCTCACTGCAGCTAAACACTTCATGGAGCAGGATGATGGTAAACACAGCTCCATCAACAACTTGGACTTCTTAGAAAGTGTTCTCCTTTCCTTTATCTACATCTTCAATGAGCATCAGCAGCAGCAGGAGGTACTGATAACGTTCCTATATCAGGATACCTCTCCTTTATCTGCTGTCAGTGAAGCTCACAGAGCCTGACCAGGCTGTGATGCTTAGTGACAGAGGACCATGTTGACCTATCGGCAGGGTTAATTTACAACAACACAGTTCATGTAGGTGATGGAACACTGTCTTCTGAGAAAATGTACATTTAATAAAGTCCACCTTGCCAAAAATAACTCTGGGGAAATTTGGCAGCAGGAAATAAAGCAGTTAAGTAACTAGTGTTTCCAAACTTCTGCAAACAACATTCAGTGTGATCAGTATTGAGTGTAAGGAGGTGTTTCTTTCTTCATCCCCCTCAAAGCTGTGGGGTCGATATCCTCCTCAGATGGGAGAACAGTGCCTGGGGTCATCCCACCAACAAGCTTAGGACGAGCTGTCAAACAATAACATGGGTAGGCTACTGAGGAATTATTGGATTATCATACTACTGACAATATTGTGATGATAAGAACATGTTTTCCATTTTCATTTGAGTATTGTTGCGTTGTGTGTATGTGATTAGATTCCTGAATGGTTGAGTCACATTTAGAATGAGCATGTTATTCCTACCCACTGCAGAAATGACCACTAAGGCCCCGGCCCCACAGGAACGCATACGGCAAAACGCATAGGATTAACGCAAACGCAATCGCCAAAAAGCTTCCGTCCACACGCAATATACACCGGATAGTGTCTGCCCACACGAGACAGCTCCGTTTAGATCCAACCGCTGGAAAAGCTGCAGTACATATGCCGAGCCTGTACGTGGCGCTGTAACTTCCTCCACAAAAGCAGCAACTTCCTCCACAAAAGCAGCGAAGAAGAATGGTTGTCATGGCTGCACTTCTGTTTATTCTCCGCGGTGGGGGCCGAGGGAACCGGGCAGAGTTTTTCGCCGGTCAACGTGTGTTAAAGTTTAAATCTTCCGGACAAAATGATAAAAGTGCCGGTCAAAGGTCTTCTTTGTTATTGATTGAGCTTTAAAACAAATGAATAACGACGATATAATGATATATAATCATAAAATACACGGAGGCTGTCTCTTTTTCCTCTCTTCTGACAGCGTCAGTGTCTGTCTCATGCAGCAGCTGATCCAGTAATGAGTGACCCGAC